TATATATATATATATATATATATATATATATATATATCTTATTACACCTGAAAATTAGTAGTCAGAAGCTGAGGAAGTGTTGGGAGAGGGTGGATCTTATTGAGTTATTAAATTATAGCATGGTTTACTTTAATCCCACTAAATGGACTTTGGACTAAATAAAGTTCTGCCTTCTATTTGTTCAGATTATACCTAACCATCTGCAAATGAAGCAGGGGAGCGGGAGGGAGTTTATTCTATTAAATTCAACAGATATCTATTGAATGCCTTCTCTCAGCCTTGTCAGAGAAAAATGGTTATAAGAAACAGAAATCCATTCATGCTAGCTCAAGGAGAAGGACTGCATTGCATGGCTCTAATAAGCAAACTCATGGATCTGAGAACCAAATTAAAGGCAATTAGAGAAGGAAAACTTCCTCTTTCTGGCTCTCAGCCCCATGGACTTTATCTCTGCTTCTCTCACTCTTGCCATCTTTCTCTTTTTGCTCATGGTCAACCACTGACTGATTAGCTACTGTGTCTCTTGGTTCAAGTCTTGAGAAAGAGAGAACTGGTTTTCAGGTCAACCAATTGAATATAGGGAGGAGACGTCACATGGTACAAATATGGTGCCTAGACCTGCCTTTCAGCAGTATTTGTGAGAAGGGGGATTGTGGGCACTGCAGGCACTCCAGAACATATTTTTTCTGTTTTAAACTCTCTCCTCTTTTCCATAGCTTTAAATACCTTGAAACAATCTAGGATAGTACTTAGCTTAAAAATATTTGAAATAGAGAAGGAGAAAGAAAAAGTTAGACCAAACTCTGGATTTCATAGTTTCCTAAATTCACCCTGCAAGTTTGAGAAATAAATGTCAGTTCCTGAGAACCAACAGCAAAACATGTTCTATCTGGGTTTGTTCCCAGACATGAAATGCTCGGCTGGGTGAATTTACCCACACCTTGCATAACTGATATGGTGTGGGAGTCTGCATTGTACCCTGATTAAAACAAAATTAGCTAGCAGCAGAAATCTCATTCATGAGGATAGCTCATCCTACTTCCTATACTGCATAATTACCTGTATCACCAGACATTGAAATGACACAGTGATATGACAGCCGAAAAGGCCATATGACACAGCCAAAAAGGCCCTTGGAAATTATTATCCTGGCTTATTTTACAAAAAGGGAAACTGAGGCTCAGAGTGAGCATGAGGACTACAGGAGCCAAGACCTCTCCTCCAGTCCAGGCCCCCTTGTGAAGCATCATACTTCAGTGAGGTCAGCACCCCTAACCCAAGTGAAACCTGCTCTTTTGCAGCTTCCAGAACTCCAGGCACAACCCACAGGGTACCCTTCACGTAATTTTTCCAGCCAGCTCTCTGGTTGTCTCCAGAGCAGAAAATGAAATTAAAGTACAATGTGCATGCTGGTCTCTACAGCTGTTTGTTTCTCAGCTTTTCTTCTCCTGTGTCATGTTTCACCCACATTCCAGTACTGGCCCTTGGCTTGGATAAAAAGGCTCAAGCATCAGGAAGGAAGAATCAAAGGGAGAGTGGCAACCTCTGCTGGGTCATTAGTGGTCCCCAGCTGCTGGATGGATTTAGAACATGCTTTTAAGTGTCAGGGTGGAAATAACCCAAATATCCAAGAGACAGTTCTCTTTGTGCAATTACTGAGACTAGCCACGCCACAGAATGAAAGGGTCATGCTTCCTGAGCTCATTTTATAATAGCTTAGTTGTTTGAAACTTGGGTAACATCGCTTTAAGGGGGAAATGAATTATATTATTGGTTCCCAGACTAGTCTACTTAACTGAAATTATAATTGACCTCTGGATCCCAGGGCATGCAAACAGCATCTGTAAGGTATAGCAGGGGGGAGTTTATTCATGGCATCCTTGCTTTCTCCCATTCCTTCTCCCAATTCCTCCCAGTGACTCTGGACCCCTAAGCTTTCCCAGTTACTGGGATAAGCCAGGTTTTGATGGCTGCCTGCCCTCCCCCTGGTTCCTTGGAAATGGGACATATGATAGAATTAATGCATGTATGTAAATGATGAATACACATCTGTGAATGATTAACAGTCCCTGAACCAGTGGTTCTGCCATAGTCAGTGGGTACTAAAACCACATGGGGAGCTTGTTAAATGCAGATTCCCAGACCCCATACCAGAAGTGAGAATTCAGCAAGGGCCAGAATGGGGCCAGGGAACCTGGAGATAGGGAGGAGTGTTAATATTATTTCTATTGATTTCAGAGAGAAAGGGAGAGGAGGAAAAAGAGAGGGAGTCAAACAGTTATCTATACATGAATGTTCATAGCAGCATTATTCACAGTAGACAAAAAATTAAAATAACCCAGATGTCCATCAACTGATGAATGGATAAAAATATTCTGATCTTTCCAGACATAGACTATTATTCAGCCATGAAAAGGAATGAAGTACAAAAACATACTACAGGATGGATGAACCTGGAAAACATTGTGTTCAGTAAAAGAAATCAGGCACAAAAAGCCAATATTGAATGATTTCATTTCTATGAAGTGTCCAGAATAGACAAACCCATAGAAACAGAAAGTAAATCAGTGGCCGACAAGGGGTAAGGGGATGGAAGAATGTTAATATATACAAGGTCTCCTTTTGGGGTGGTGAAAATATCTTAGAACTGGAGAGAGGTGATTATTTCACAACACTGCGAAAATGCCACTGAATTTGTACACTTTAAAATGTTAATGGTTATCACTGGGCAAAGAGATATCTGATTGGTGGTGTTGCTCTCATATCAACCAGGGGCAAAGCAGATAAACGGTCCTTAGTTTATCCTAGCTTGATCCCTGTGTCGGTGGCCAAAGCTGTTTGAACCCTGAGCCACATAAAGTTATAATTCCTAGGTCTTGGAGGGGAAAAGATCAGAAACACTGGCCTCAAAATAAGTAGATTATTAATATTATCTGAGGCTTAGAAGGGGATATAGTTTTAAAGTTTGTGGAGATATTGTGATTACTCTAATAACTTCTAGATAACAGTAAGTAGGTACCCTGTTTCCGTGAAAATAAGACAGTGTCTTATATTAATTTTTTCTCCCAAAGTTGCGCTAGGTCTTATTTTCAGAGGATGTCTTATCTTTCCATGCGCTAGGTCTTATTTTTGAAGGATGTCTTATTTTCAGGGAAACATGGTAGTTCTAGCACAACTCCATTAAGAGTGAACATGTCACCTACCAGTTTTTGTAGCAATTGTTCAATAAGACATGGATATATATCATTCTGCACATAAAATTGGATGCTATGAGAATAATAAGTGGGTCACTATTGGCTTTCAGAAAATTGGGTGGAGGTCTAGTATGGCAATATTGGGATTATTTTAGAAGGCAGTTACTGTGAATCATGTATTCTCAGGAACCAGAAAGTGTTCAAATCCTGACTCTCTGCCATTTAATTACCAGTGTAGTCTTAGATGCATTTAACCTGCCTGTTTCTCGCCTGAAAAGTGAGTTATAATGATAGTGCTTGTGAGTTGTTGGAAAAAAATAAAACATGAAAAGCACCTCAAATGGGGCCTGGCACAGTTGTAGGGTTTAGGGGGAATTTTTTAAAAATAAATAAACAAAATGTTAATGGTTAATGTTAAATTATGTAAATGTTACCTGAATAAAATAACAAAAACTCATTGGTAATAACCAAACCTCCAAGGTTCAAAGCCTGGCTCTGCTGCATGACCTAAAGCAAACTCAGTGCTTCAGTTTCCTATAAAGGAAGAAATCTCTAAAAGGAACTATAGAAATACCCATTTGCAGGCCTATTAGAATTGCATGAAGTAATGTCCCAAAGACTTGGGAGAGATGATGCATAGCTGGTACATGTGTGCCATGATTTCATTACACAAACCCTACCCTATTACATAAGCAACCACAGTCAGCATGGGTAGGGGCTTGTTCAAGTTCACACAGCAAGTTCAGAAGTCATGTCAGAGTAGCACCCAGCTCTAGGTCACTGCTCTTCCTCTGCCAACAGTCTAATTGGGTCCCTGACCGAGAATTTTGACATTCCAAAACCCCAACCCCTGGCAACAGCACAGATTCTTTCCAGTGTGGCTGGCTGGCCTACCTAGTAGGCAGAAACAACTGTTTAAAGCTTTATAGCAACAATTCTTTTTGAATCTTCCCAGGTGAAAACCTTGGCCACCTGAGGGGAATTTTGGCCGAGTGGTGACTGACCCAAAGGAGAGCTTTTCCCTTCCCTGTTCCCATGACCATGAATGTCCTGCCTGCCTCTGTTTACCTTGGACATAAGAGAAATCCTCACTAACTTATTAAGTCAGTAGGGTCATCGAGGGTCTTTCTCTTCCAGGAAACAGGGAAGAGAAGGAGCTCAGTTCTACCCTTACGCTGTTTCCTATGTGCACTCGGTTCAATTTCTGTGTCTTCAGGAACAATCTAGCTTACTCTCGTTTTCCAGCATCCACCTTCCTCCCTCAAGTAGAGAGAAATAAGTCTATACCTATCCACACCTAGCAATCCTCCTGATTCCATTGGTTCCCTCGAACAGCACAGCCCATGGGATTCCTAGGAGAAGCTCTGGGAAGTTTGTTAAGAATCGGGCTGACTGGGTGTTCAATATTGAATCAGATCATCACAAGCAGAAGATAAGAAAAATAATCCCACAGGAAGTGTCCAAATCCTTCTGGGTGCATAAATAACCCAAGGAACCTGGCCTCCCTGTACCCTGCCTTCCTTCCTTCTTCATCAGCTTCCACAGCCCATGTCAGCTTCCTCCTGGGCTTTGAGGTCTGTTCCTGAGAGCAGATCCAATCTGGCTTGAGTGAGGTGATGAGTCTTTCCAAAGTTTGCACTTCCAGAAAAACAAGTCTGAAGCCCCCAGGTGGCCACCTGGAGCCATAGTCCACCAAAAGATGTAGGCCAACTGGAAGGGTGCTGGAGGAGGTGGTCTTAAGATCACATAAATACTCATAGCAGCACCCATTCATAGAACTTATACCTTCCCTCCTTTATCCCCAAGGTCGCTGGATTGAAGATCATGGAGTCATACACAACATGATGTTTAACACTGAGACAAAATGGAAGTACTCCTTCAAGACCACACTGAACAAGACTGAGTGGTGGGACAATGGTGTTCTCCCCCTCTGGATCACAGCCCAGAGACAGGTACAGTCAGAAATCGTAGGCTGGCTTGCAGGGATGTTGCCTCTCATTCTAAAGCATGTGGGATGGAGATTAGAGGCTGTGTGACCTTGGGCAAGTGACTTAGCCTCTCTAAACATGTATTTTCTTAAATGTGAAGTTAAGGATCATGATGGTGTGTTTATTTAACAGATTTGAGGTAAGGATTAAATGAGATATGTGTGAAAGGGAGTGGGAACAGAGGAAATGCTCAGTAATTTTCAGCTATTATGGATGAACAAGTCAGGACATAGACTGGCTTAATCATGATTATACCTCTAGGGCTCTTCATAGGGTCTGGACCCAGCAGCTCTTTAATAAATATCTGTTTGTACACTTCCTCAGACTTAGGCATAAAATCCCTTGGGAATGAAGTTGACCATTTAATGCATCTTCAGACCATGAAAAGCTCTTATGAGAACATTCATTGAAAGAATTCCAGCAGCCATTTATTATTGCTTTGAAAAAGCAGAAATCAGACCTATATATTCAACTCCAGCCTGAAAACCTGTTGCCAGTTTGCATTTTGTCAATGAGCTTACAGTCGTCACTGTAGAATAGGTCCTCTTTCTTCTTCCACATGACACCAGCATTGCTCCAAATCTATCCTGGGTACCAGGGCTGCATCTCTGCGCTCCAAGCCCACACTAAGCATGTCACATGGCAAGATGGTGTGATGTAGCAGCTAAGAATGCAGTTTGTGGACTCAGACTCCTGTAGCAGGATATCAGCTGCCTCCACCCTCTCCAGCTGCATGACCTTGGGCAATGACTTCTTCTCTGTGTTTGAGTTGCCCCATATGTAAAATAAAGATTGTCCCTGCTTCATAGAGTCATTGGGGGGATTAACTGAGATAATGCCTGTAAGACACATAAATCTAAATGCCAAAAAACTGTCAGTCATGCTTAAGAATGGAGGATAAATCATTTTAGCACTTTCTCGGCTGGTCACTACAGCTCTAGGTCAGAACTATCCAATGGAGCATTCCATGATAATGGACATGTTCTACTGCACACAGTCCAATATGGAAGCCACCAGGTGTATGTGGTTATTGAGCCCTTGAAATGTGGCTAATGAGATTAAGGAACTGAATTTTAATTGTATTTAAGTTTAATTAATTTCTTTCTTTTTTTAATCTAAATACATGAGGCTAGGAGCTGCGATAATGGACAATTCTCTAGAATAATCACTGGGGGTGGCCAATGATCCTATCCTACTTCAGGTTCATTTTTTCCCTAGCTGTTGGGCCTTAGTTCCTCCTTCTTCTGTCACATTTTTAAATTTTAATAAACAGATCACACAAATAAATTCTGTCCTTCCAAGAAAATCATGCTCATAACACTATGAACCAAGCACTGATTTAAGTGCTTTACATATATTAATGTATAACAACTCTGAGGCAGGTGCTATGATTATACCCATTTAACAATTGAGTAAACTGAGGAGCAGTGCCAAACTTCTCAAAGTCACAAAGCCAATAAGAGGCAGGACTGAAATTTAAACTCAACCCTGCATTCCGTAACTCTTAACACTTAATCATGACATACTACTTCTGTGGCCAAAACATTTAGCCATGGATTTCATAATAAATCTTCTATTTGCCCCAGGGGTCTGCAGCCTTTAAGACATAAAGAGCCACTTGGACCCGTTTCCGAAGGAAAAAAAAACCTGGGAGCCGCAAAACCATTGCGACATTTAAAACACTGCATATATTGTTTCTTACCTTAATACTATATACCGGATAGTGCTTTTTTTCTTCAGATTGACCGGATAGCTGTCAATCTGAAGAAAAAAAGGACTTTTTCACTTAACAATGTAAAATATATTTTTGCAAATTAATAGCTAATTAAAATATTTAATTTACCTGGTTAATGGGATTTTTGCTCCTGAACCTCAGTGCACAGTCCTAGGAGCACATCAGGGCTGTAAGACATTACCTTCATTTTCACACAGGCTTGCAAGTTGTCGGAGCCACGGTAAAGCTTCAAAAGAGCTGCATGCGGCTCTGGAGCCGTAGGTTGCCGACACCTGGCCTAGCTGCTAGGGAGGTCTGGACAATCTTCTTTAATTCACTATTCAAAACCCAGGGCCTCTTTAGTCTCTTGCATGGTATTTGTTCACTGGCTTGAGGCCTCTGGTAGTATTCCCCTTTTCTGTTATTTTTCTTTTTCATGGTTCGTATCTCATTGTCATTTATTTGCAGAACTTTGTTTCCTTCTGCTCAATTCATCATTAGAGTGTTCTTCCTCTTTGCTGAATTCATAAGTGGTTATGCAAAAAGAGGATCTGGTGTGGGGCCAGGCAATTGACAACACGCCAGTTGTTTGGCAAGTGAATGTCCAATTGGTATATCTCGTTCTGCCACTGGCAGCTCCTGCCATGGGACAGGGCCATCAGCCAGCTCCCTGAGAGCCTGACAGAAAAGCCGCTGCAATCAGATCAAACCTGTGGCCTGGAGCCAGCACCCCAGCAGAAGCACTCCAGCTGGCCCCAAATACCATTCGGGGGCACATCTGTGTTTCCAGGCAGGGCTGGAGGAAGGGGGTCTACCCCGTATCCATCACTGGGAAAATCCATCCTTCTCCCAAGTCTCCTCCTGGTGAGCTTTGTGGAGATTGATACATGAACCTTTAATATGACTAAAATGTTCTCCTCAGTGACACTAACGCTGCCTGAATCCATCAAGATGCATGAGAATGACATGCCTTGGTAGGTGATGCCTAAAAGATGGGATTCCTGCCCACCTGTGTGTCCATTAATCAAGCCCACAAGCACACCCACATTCCAGCAGGACTTCACTAAAGGTCAGGGTACAAACTGAGAGGCTCCATTTGGAATCTTGGATTTTTGATGAGCACCCTCAATAACTGAACTTGATCAATGATCAAGGTACTTCACCTCATTCACAAGTCCTAATTCTCAGAGAAAGGCAGTTAGCCATAACTGTAAGACCTAGGAAAACTATAGGATATGCTCCCCCTCTCTCCAGAAAAGCTATAGAGCATAAGCAGTGCGAAGGCAGAGCATGATCTGAGTGAGATTGGCATGGTGCCAAGAGTCTGTAACAGGACCACAGTAGGTGAGCACTAGGAGGGGGTTTGGGGAGAGAATGGGAAAGCAGCTTGGTTCTCAGTGTAAGCCAAATCTCCCAAACAATCGCTTCCAAACTTGGAAGAACTGTGAGCAGGATCTGCCTTGAATAGCAAGGTAATGCATCCCAATATTGGCCCAAACTGTGTCTTTATTATGCATCATAAAGGCTCTAAGAATAACAATCTCTCCTCCAAAGGGGTGGGAGGGAGAAAACAGAATTTTGAACGTAGAGCTGCCTTCTGTTCAGTGGTTCCTCCTAAGCACAGAAAGGCAATGAAAATGCCCAGAACCAATTTTGACTTCTGAATTTTAAATACATGGAGTCCATTTCTTCTCACTTGACCATTCCCTCAAATCAGTATGAAACTTGTTTCCCTAAGCCACACATACTCCCCACCAAAGCACAGGGACCTTCATAAAATGTGTGCCTTGTGACATTAATTATGTCACCTAAGGGAAAAGACAAGACAAAATGCAAAACTAAATTGACTTTTCCTCTAATTATTGGTTCTGAAGAGTTTGGTGAATTTGTACAAAACCCAATAGTCAGGATTTCCCTGTGAAAGTACCAACTCTTGTTTTTAAAAAGCAACTTAAAAGTAATAGCCACATCGATGCAATACTACACTAAGGGAGAATAATGAACCTAATAAAACTAGCGATTTTCCAATTGCTATTGCTACTAGAAACACTGATTATGCTAATTAAAGGGTAGAATAGTAAATACCAACTCTTTTGCATCCAATTAAGTGCTCAAATTATTTCTCAAAAGTATTTGTTGAAAATAGCACTTTTTATTACCATGGGTCCCAAATAAACAGAGTCAAGTGTGTGTGTGTGTGTGTGTGTGTACATGCACACTCACACACATTTCTCTCTGGAGCTCATTTCACAGAGCAGCAAAACTCCTAAAATTCTTTTGGGACCAAGTGAGAAAAATCAGTTTCCTAAGACAACAGCTTGGAATACCTTTAAAGAAGGTGTGTGTTGAAAATACAGCACACAAAAATACTTCAATTTCAAGATGGGAACAACTGAGATTTAACATGCAAACATCAGGAATTCAACTGGATATGCAGGACTGCCTAAGTCCCTGGGAATTTCAATGTCAATTATTCTTAATAATAAAACAGCTGGTAGGTGATGCCTAAACAAACTACATTCTACAAAATGTTAGAAGTGTCATCCTTCCAGTCAATTCCATACTTCAGAGCAAAGTCAATTTATATGTAAGTTAAACAAAGCACCATTGCTAAAAACTGAGAATTATGTGGATTGCCAATCAGAAATGCAATAAATAAATATTAGAGGATTTGCAAGTTAAATCAACCATAGAAATTCTATTATCAGAAAGAAAATGTGTTACCTACAGAGGTTACAAATAAGATGCTAGAACCCAAAAGAGAAAGAGATTCTATAATGATTTCCATAACTTATCAGAAGAGATGATTCATGCATTCATTCAGCATGCATTTAATCAACAGTTAGCACTTACTCTGAGCCAGGCCTGTTCTGGGTCCCAGTGAAAGTGTGGTCAATAAGAAAGTCATGGTCCCTGGTCTCCTTGAGCTCACATTCTAGAGGAGAGAAATAGACAATAAATAAGTAAACAAATTAAGATGATTTCAGATTGGGGAAAGCACTTTAGAGAAAATAAAACTGGATCGCATAATAAAAAATGAATGCTGGAGAGTAGAGGGGATAATATTTCACCTATAGCTACAGATAGCAGAGCTCCTGAAGCCTTGCAAAGTAGTTGGTATTGAGAATCTTAGGTCACATTTCCTAAAAGCAGAGCCTGAGGCAGGAATTCAGTGTGGGTAATAAATTGAGGGAGAAGTGTCAAGAGATGGGAGTAAGGAAAACTGACAGGCCAGGGAAAAGAGTTAAGTGAGAGGTGTTCCTCGCTGGAGACCAGCTTCAGCCTGAACCCATGGGGAGCTCTGGAACATGAACTGAACCCCAATGTTATCCCACCCTGAGGCCAGGGAACCTGTCTTTTGTCCTCCCGTCAATCACTCACCACAAGCAGCTGGGGTGGAGGAAACACCTTCCCAGATGAGACAGGTCTTGGCTACTTGGTTGAGGGTAATTTTCTAGATGGTGAGGCAGCTGAGAATCTCACAGAAGTGGGTGTGGGTGCTTTGGTCCAATAAGGGGACCTGTGTGGGGCACCAATAGCAACCCCTACAACTTCCAAATTGCTTTCCTACTTCTCAAACATACATGGGAAGTTTTGGCATCATTCTTGGTTGTATTTTTCTGCTCATTTGTTTACAAAATAGCCATAACCAGGGGGCCATTATCCCAAAATTCTTTCCTAGTAATCTATTCTCCATATTATCAACATAGTCACATGATCACCATCCCTTGGTTCCACTGAAACCAATGAACTTCAGAGTGTTTTTCAGAGCATCCAAATCGTGGGTGATACAAGGAGTGTCACAAAACAGCCCTCAAGATAATAATTTAGCAGAGATGAAGAAAAACACTTGCTCCCCAAATAATAAGGCCATTCATTCACTAAACCAAAAATCTATTGAGTACTATGTGCCTGTTCCTGATTGAGGAGCTGCTTTGCAAAAGTAGACCTACTTAGTGAGATGTGTCCACCTCATTAATAATACATTGGTTAGCATACAGAAAATTATTTTCTTTTCCTAACTATTTTACCAAGCTTTGTCCAAAACCACCTTTCTTCTGGGGAGCAGATCACTTAAGAATATTTCCATGCCCTGGCCAGGTAGCTTAGCTGGTTAGAGCATCATCCTGATATGCTAAGGTAGTAGATTTGATGCCCAGCGCAGACACATACAAGAATCAACCAATGAATACATAAATAAGTAGAACAACAAGTTGTATTTTTCTCTATATATATTTAATTTTTTAAAAGAATATTTTATTGACTTTGTAGTTGCCTGTTTTGTTAAAATAGCTCCATTTCTGAAGAATCAACTCTGCTCATGGTAGAACTTTCATCTCAAATCCAAGTCAAACTCTCCTTCCCAGATGCCCCGCTACCCTCTCCATAGACCCTGTGGTGGTCCCAGCAGCCTAGAGTAAGAGCATGGCCTGTGCTCTACTCTTTCAGATACATACACACCCTTCCCTGGTTTACTCTCTGGAGACAAGAAAAGGAAGAAACATATAGGCTCTTCCCATGAAAGACCGTAGGAAGGCCATGACCCTTTTCCTGTTCACTGTAATTTGCTGTTCTACCTAGTTGCCTGTGGTCTCACATAGAGGGGTGAAGGTAACCAGGCCTCACTAACAAGAGTCTCAGTGTCAAGGAGCAACCTCAGGCCTCTCTGGGGCCTTGCAAGACCCAGCCATATTTCATAGCTATTTCCTCTGTTGTAAAGAACTCGATGCCCTATCCTATAGCCATTTCTGCCACTACTGAAGTCCTCAATCTCACCTTCTCTCTGCAGTCCCCAGCCCTGTGATGTATAGGCACATCCCAGAAACACCTTCAGTTCCCTGCAGAAGACAGAAACTAGAGGGAATAATTGTTGCCCCCTCTTTACATGACCATGCTACCTTGCCCAATGCTCTCTGTCCCTCTCCAGGAAAAAAATAGAAATTAAGCTCGTTAGCTTACTAATGTGTTCTACATGCATTTAGTCCTCACAACTACCCATGAAGTGGCATAATCATCTCCATTTTACAAATGTGGAAACTGATGTGGAGAGCATGAGTAACATGCATCCAAGTGGTGGGAAAGACTATCACCAGGCAATCCAGCATCAGAACACACTTTTAACTGCCATCCTCTTCTGTCTCTGAGCGGGGCATCAGGCCCAGTGGTTGAGCAAACTGCACTGCAAATAAGATAGTCTCCCCTTCTTGCAAACACCCCCAAATTTTATAAGCATTAGATATGGGAACCAGTAGGGCAGTTTCTCCCCTCTCCAACATCCTCAGAGGAAGTCCCATGATTGTATCTTATTAGCTTGGACATGGGCCCAAGGCTGAACCAACTAGTGACCAGAGGATGCAGTATCCTCTACCCAAGCTAAAGCCTAAGCCTATATCTGGAGCCAGAAATGGAGCCAACACATCCCAAACCTGGCATGAAGCCAGGGCAGAGAGAAGAGTCTCCAGAGAAAGTCAGGAGACTCTAAACCAGTAGACAGGGGACTGAGTGCTGGCAAGAAAACATATTAACTGTCCTCTGCACACACTGGGAAAGACCTGTGGTTCTTGTTATATTTAGAGAAAAAGAGTGCCTACTATGTGCCAAAACATGATGTCCAACATTTTACCTTAAAATTAATTGGCTCAAACTTCATAAAAATTCAACCTACTTTTTGGCATTTTACATATAGAAACACTGAAGCGTAAGAGATTAAACAACACTATCACCAACTTAGAGCCATTTTTCCTCCATTCTAAGAATTTTTATTTTTATTTTTATTTTTGCCATCTCCAAAGTTAAGAGTACATCTTCCAATCCCTGGTGTATCGAGTTTTAATTGACATCACTGTTTTTCCTATCAGTGCATAAAATATTGGCATGTCTTTCAGCTAATGGAGTTTTAGATTCAATGAGATTGTAGTGAAGCCAAGAATGAAATCCTCCCCCATCTTACTCCAAAGTCCATGTGGTTCCTGGACAAGGGTAGGGATGTTGATCAGTTGGGCTTTGCTTGTTATGAGAAATGGCCTGATAGAATTTTCTTCTTGTGCTTTCAGGGGAGGAAGACGGCGTCATTCCACTATCCTGGGGGAGGTGCTAAATACAAGGGTGAAGCCGTCCAGAGGTCCCTGGTGGAGTCTTACACTCACCCAGACAGCAATGAGACAGAGTGGAGGGAGAACATTGATATTGTCATGAACTGGTTCACTAAGGAAGACTTTGACTTTGTGACTCTGTACTATGGAGAGCCAGATAATGTGGGACACAAATTCGGGCCCGAGACGGAAAACAGAAGGGTAATGATTCAGCAAATCGACAGAACCATTGGGTACCTGGTGGAAGCCATTGAGAGACACCGCTTGACTGAGCACCTCAATGTCATCATCACATCAGACCACGGCATGACTACAGTAAAAAAGAAGCCCAATGTCACTGAGATCCTCTTGACCAAATACATCAAGTACAAAGACTTAGTCAAGTTTGATATTGTGGACTACGGAGGCTTTGGGATGATCCTGCCCAAACCAGGAAAAGAGGAAGCTCTTTACGAAGCGCTGAAGAATGCACATCCACACCTCCATGTCTATAAGAAGGAGGAATTTCCAGAACGCTTCCACTATGCTAAGCATGAGCGAGTCCTGCCAATCCTGCTGTATGCAGACTCTGGTTACAACATCAATGGGGTGAGTTGATTTTTAAATGAATAAAGTCATCTTGGATCTGGGAGAGAGCCACTAGGGAGGGACAGTTCTGGAAAACATCAAAACATAAGTGCAGCCGAAACCGGTTTGGCTCAGTGGATAGAGCATCGGCCTGCAGACTGAAAGGTCCCAGGTTTGGTTCCCGTCAAGGGCAGGTACCTTGGTTTTGGGCACATCCCCAGTAGAGGGTGTGCAAAAGGCAGCTGATCGATGATTCTCTCTTATCGATGTTTCTAACTCTCTATCCCTCTCTCTTCCTCTCTGTAAAAAAATCAATAAAATATATTTTTAATAAAAATTTAAAAAATAAAATTTAAGTGCATGTACAGTGAGAAGTAACCCACTGTTTTCTACATGTTCCCCACCCCCACATCCCATCCAATCACCCTGCATCACATCACTATTATCCAATAATAATGACAAACACCCTGACCAAGGCTAATTGTCCAGCACTGTGCTAAAACTTATCATCAGTTAGTTCATGTCTATCTAAAGATAGATGCTCTTTTCTCCCTCATTTTAATAAGGGAGAAACCAAAGCTAGAGAGGAATGATTTGGGATTAGAAGTATAAGGCTGAAGTCTGAACCCAAGCCTGTGTGTTTGATTATTATACACAGATCACCAGGAAATTCACAAAAAAACTGCCTCCTGGTTCCCCTTGGTACATATCAAAAAGAAAAGAAGAAAAAAAAGAAATCCTGTTCACACAAAAATGTATATACTATGCTCACAGCAGCATTATTAACCATAAGCAAAAAGTGAAAACAACTCAAATGCCTATCAACTGGATAAACAAAATATGGTATATCCATACAGTGGAATTTTGTGTAGCCATTAAAAGGAACAAAGTACTGCTGAAACCGGTTTGGCTCAGTGGATAGAACTTCGGTCTGCAGACTGAAAGGTCCCAGGTTCGATTCCGGTCAAGGGTTGAGGGCACATCCCCAGTAGGGGGTGTGCAAGAGGCAGCTGGTCGATGTTTCTCTCTCATCAATGTTTCTAGCTCTCTATCCCTCTCCCTTCCTCTCTGTAAAAAAATCAATAAAATATTTTTTTAAATAATAATAAAAGGAACAAAGAACTGATACATGCTACAACTCAAATAAACCTTGAAAACATTATGCCCAGTTAAATACAAAGGATCACATATTAATATGATTCCATTTAAATGAAATATCCAGAACAGGCAAATCTATAGAAATAGAACATAAGATTGGTGGTTTTTTAGGGCCAGAGGTGGAGAGGACTTGGGGATGAATGGGGAGTGACTACAGAAGGCCACAGGGTTTCTTTTTCGGATGACGGAAATCTTCTAAGCTGGTTCTGATAACAGTTGCACAACTCTGTGCATACACTAAAAATCAATGAACTGTACACTTTAAATGGGTAAATTGTATGGTATGTAAATTTTATCTCAACACAAATTTTATTAGACTTAAATAAGCAAAATCAATGCTAATTGTGAGACATAACTGAAATGGTTTGGTTTTTCTTAACTACCAACCAATAATTCATGTCAGAACAAAGTTGAGGTGATATTTAAATATCACATAACAGAAGACCACCTCAGGTATAGTTTGACAAATCCCTTTCTAAGGCTGTGGACAGTGCCAAACATAATTATGTTTGCAATCTGTATATTCTCAGCTTGCTACAGGTCTTGAAAAAAATTCACTAGGTTATTGTGTAATGACGGTGGAAATATTCACAATAAAGTGTAACAATTTATTGGTCTTTTGGAATCCCTCAAATAGCCCAAACCACTGAGGATGCGTACCCAAAGCTAAGGCCTCTTCAAGGAGAGATTCCAACGTCAGTGGCCTCTTTGTAACCCTAGTTCATGATGTAACAAGTTGCAAGTATGGCCAAGGCATTTAATGAGACAGTCACATTCCCAACATGATCAACCAGAGTTTGAGGGAATAGGATGCTATGATCAGTTTAATCTTCTGGAAAACTAACAATTAAACAGAAAATCTTTTGGTCTCAGTATATCTCACTGAGTGCACCACTCAGATTTCCATTCATCTGCCTGCCTTGAGGTGCAGAGTAAAGTAGATGCTACTCTTCTCTCTTCAGGAACTGAAGAGATTGCAAACCACATGAGGGCGTCACTGGGGCACTTGCTCTTGATGGGCTTCCCTATGGCCTCAAAGGTCATTGGACTGGTTTCTTTAGGGTGAGGGAGCCTCAGCTGAGTTACAGGAGCTTTCTGTAATCACCTGACCAAATATGAGGCCAACTTTCCAAAGCACAGAGCACCACATTTCTTACCTGCTGAAACATCTGTTGGTCCTAAGAAAATATGAACAGTGTTGTGATTGATGTTACTTCATTATTAGAAAAGGGGCACAGATCCTACTGGCATTCATTAAACAATTACCTACAGTCCTTATTCCCTCCTCTCCAAACTCCTCCCAAATATGATATATATATATATATATATATATATATATATATATATATATACCCTAATAAAGACAGAATATGCAAATTGACTGTAATTCTGTGACAAAGATCATGGCACCCACAGCCAATAAGAAGGAAATATGCAAGTTGACATGACAAGGCAACAGGTGGAAGGTGGCTCTGGACAGAGTGAAGACAAGTGAAAAGGCAGCGCTGGGCCTGAGCAAAAGCAGGCAGAAAGGTGGCTCCGGGCCAGAACTAAGGAAGGCAGAAAGGCTGCTCCAGGCTGGAGCAAAGGCGGTGCTGATAGCCAGAAGAAGGAAGGCCTATTCTTGCACATATCTTCATGCATCAGGCCTCTAGTATACACACACACACTCACACACTCATCCACACACATACTTTTATGCCATAAAAAACATACTTGGCTCTAGAACCATACAGTCTGGGTTCAGACACCTGCTCTAAACCTTGCTACTACCAATTCACTGAAAATCAGTTGGTGGGATGTCCTCAGTTTTCACATCTTCAAAATAGGGAAGATAATAACAGTGCCCTTGCTGGGCCACTGTGAGGGTAAAAAGAGTTAACATATATTTGTAAAGCATTTGGCACAACTCATGGTACATAATAAGCACTCTATGCTTGAGCTTACTGTCATTGCCAGTATTGTTATCATTATATTCTTGCTGTTTCTAATGGATACGCTTTCTAACTTGTTCTATTTTAAAGATCTTTCATTCTTCGCTCTTCTCTCTGCCAGTGTGGAAAGCAGTGTCCTTCCTCGTCATTTAAATTTTCAAAGATTTCATGGATCCGATAAGCATATTAACTAAGGGGCAATATTCTTTCAGTGAATTGGGATCTAAAATGGAGTTTTTGCCGAAACCGGTTTGGCTCAGTGGTAGAGCGTCGGTCTGCGGATTGAAAGGTCCCAGGTTCGATTCCGGTCAGGGGCATGTACATTGGTTGCGGGCACATCCCCAGTAGGGGTGTGCAAGAGGCAGCTGGTCGATGTTTCTCTCTCATCGGCGTTTCTAGCTATCTCTCTCCCTTCCTCTCTGTAAAAAATCAATAAAAATATATTTTTTTAAAAAGAAAAAAGAAATACCGCATTTAAATAAATAAATAAATAAATAATAATAAAATGGGTTTTTTTGTTGTTATTTTTCAGCAACTTATAATTTATTTCAACAAAGGAGACCATGGCTTTGATAATGATCTCGAGGACATGAGGACCATATTCAGAGCTTTCGGGCCAGATTTCAAGAAGAATCACTTGGCTGAGCCTTTTGACAGTATCCATATCTACCCACTCATGTGTAAGCTCCTGGGGGTTACCCCTGAGCCCCACAATGGCTCCCTGGCAATCACCCAAGAAATGCTTGTGGACCAGCAACCAGGTGAGATGCAAAAGCAACCACCAGAAAATTGGCAGTTGCTTCCTGTCCTGAGAAAGAATGGATTCATAATGGGGTCTCCTGGGGAGGGGTGAAATCAAGCAGAATAATCCTGTTTCCCAGCAGCTTCAGCACCCCCAATACAAGATATCAGCAGCTCTAAAAAGATAGCAGAGGAGGTAAATGTGCTGGTGACATTTTACACAGTGCTTCAGGGGCAAAGGGAAGGCTCTCCATATAGGAAGTCAGAGGATAATCCTACTGATCATCAGAAATTGTGTGCAGTCTGCCCCCTTGTAGATACCAAAAATCAGCCTTCCTTTCTCAACTCCATGCAAGTTAGCGCCTGGAGAAAAGCTGCTAATCATTTCACTCATTGCTGAAGGAGCAAGGGTTCCTGTAAATGAGGTTGCTAATTCTTAAGACTTCAAAATCCTAAATCTGGCCCCTGACCAGGGGCTCGGTTGATTGAATTGCCTTCCCAAACACCAAAAGTTGAAGGTTCGATCGATCCCCAGTCCAGGCTTGTGCAGGAAGCAACCAACAAACCAATCGATGTTTCTCATCTCTCTCTCTCTCTCTCTCTCTCTCTCTCTCTCTCTTTCCCTTCCCTCCTTCCCATCCTCTCTCTCTAAAATCAATAAACACATCCTCGGGTGAAGGTTTTTAAAAAATCCTGAATCTGGGTGACATGAAGGAAAAAAGAAATCATCTCTGGGAATTCAGTGTTTGCAAACACTGGCCAGCTTTTCTTTTGCGGGGAGAGACTTAGATACCGCCTGATGATTTATTGAGTGCTTAGAGCAACCATATTCAATCAAAACAGAGTATAAAAAATAGCTTCCTGCACCCTTTTCCCTTCTTCCAAGTCACTGCCCACGATCTTCTTGTGAACTTACAGAAAGCAGGCCGTTTTGCAGAAAACTAATTAAGTAAATGACCACTTCACCAAAGTATTGAGGACTTTTAAAAACACATTAGAATCTGCTCAACTATTTGGACCCCACTTCTGTCCCATAGCACACTGGGAGCTGGGGTAAGGTGTGTTTGACCATCAGTTATTGATAAGCAGTGGACATCCCATCAACTGATTTCCAGTGAATTGGCTTCTAGCAAATTGATCATTTGGCAAAGTGGTCATTAGGCAAATGGGTCATTTGGCGAATAGGTCATTTAGTAAATCGTCTTTCAATGACTTGCCCTGTGAGATTTCTCTACAGTGAGCACTTTTCTTGGGTTAAATGTACATTTCATTTCCATAATTAATATTCACTAGCGCCTGGATGGGAAACTTCCCACGGACCCTGGAGCATCTGGAACAGCCTCTTAGTAATCGGACAATTAAAAACCATCTGATCTTTTTTTTTTTTTTTTCTTAACAGGAGCAAAGATACAGAGGTCATCTGCTCTCCAAAATACAGCAATAGGTCTGGGGACTACCACAGGAGTTCTTGCAGTTCTGTTTGTCACTGGTGTGACATACACAGCCATTCGTCGGAAAAAGAAGTGAGTGGCCTTTGGGTTTCCTGTGGTTGGTGCACATTGTAATCATCCATTTCAATCATGTCCTGCCACAAGGGGTCCAGCACTTTGAGAACCCAGAAACCAGAGCCAGCTTGGGCCCAGGACTCAGAAGAGCCCCCAGCTTGGTTTGATAAGCTACTACCACAGTCTCAAAATTCTTAACAAGGACCCTGCATTTTCATAGTGCACTAGACCCCCAAATTGTACACTAGTTGTATTAGTTTTCTAGGACTGCCATAACCAAGTACCACAAACTGGAAGGCTTAAAACAACAGAAGAGTATTGTTTCATAGATCTGGAGACTAAAAATACAAAATCAAGGGTTGGGCAGGGCCATGGTCCCTCTGAAACCTATAGGGGAGGGTCCTTCTGGGCCTCTTCTAGGTGGTTGCCAACAGTCTTTGATGTTTTCCTCCAATCTCTGCCTCCATTGTCACACAGCCCCTTCTCCCTGTGTCACTGACTTCTAAGGACACCAGTCATGAGATTTAGGGACCGATGTAATCCAGTATGACCCTATCTTAATTTAATTATGTTTGCAAAGACCCTATTTTCAAATAAGGTTACATTCCTAGGACTTTTACCATATCTTTTGAGGTGAGGGGAAACAATTCAACCCATAACATTGGTTCTACCACCCATCAAAGCATTATATGAGCTGATGCACTGCTTTCTACAGCTCAGTAGTTTGTCATTAGACTGAGCCTTCTGTATTATTGTACCCAACCCTGACCATTTTTCTATTTGGACACAGCATGGGGACCTCCCAAATACTATAAACTACCGAAAGGCAGAACTTTACTTAACCTTAACTCCATTTCAAAGCCCACAGTTAACGTAATTTCTATTTAAACTATAAAATTTTCCTGTGAGCTGAAACATGACCTACAAAGGTCTCTACACCCTGCAGCAACATTTTAGAAAGAAATCAATTGGTCCTTTTTTACAGAAACCATTAGCCATAAGAGAGATACAGGAAAAACTGCAATGTACTGATTGAATTGCCATGCCCACAGCATAATTTCTAAAAGGCAACCATTCCATACAGTTAAAATGCATTAGGTTTTTATTATTATTACTATTAATGAAAGCCTGAAATCCAAAAGCTGAATCACTAATTTAGCATGTGCTCATGCACATCTCTCTTGCCTCTGGAAGGACCACTGGGATGTCCTAATGCTTCTTTCCACCTGGAATTTTTATTTGTGCTAAACAGCAGTCCTAAACTTCACTTACACCTGAACATACCACACCTTTGAGGGCCATAAAACTTTAAATATCCCTTCAGTGCCTTGATCCTTCCAGATTCAGACCTGAAATGTTATCACTTTTGTCCCTCCTGAGAGCCCTCACACAAAGATGAAGGTTTCTTCTGGGTGTAGATCAGTGCTGCAGCCTACTGAGGATCTTCCCAACCTGCTTCCCATCTATGGCATTAGGTAAGGTGGGACCAGCCTAGGTTTATTAATATCTTAGTATAACATCAGACAGTGTCACTCTGGCATTAACTATAGATGTCCTTTCACTCCTCAGAGGAAAGATAATAGTTATTATGTGTGTTCCTAGAATAAGTCCTGTATTTATGAGTTTAACTGACCTATTGCCATTGGTTTTCTACTGCAGACAGAGCGCTGATCAAAACAGCAAAAGTGAACCAGTGAACCTGAACGAAATCCCAAGAGTCGCCCTTTAGGACCAAGACTCAAATCATAGTTAAGACTCATTGTTGCCCTACCCGGTTTGGCTCAGTGGATAGAGCATTAGCCTGTGGACTGAAGGGACCCAGGTTGATTCCAGTCAAGGACATGTACCTTGGTTGCAGGCATATCTCTAATAGGAGGTGTGCAGGAGGCAGCTGATCGATGTTTCTCTCTCATTGATGTTTCTAACTCTTTCTCTCCCTTACTCTTTGTAAAAAAAAAAAAAAAAAAAAAAAAAAAATCAATAAAATATAATTTAAAAAAGATTTATTGTGACTCTATCTCTGAACATTATGGCTAGGAGGATTTTTGCAACATCCCGGTACCTGAAACCATGAATTCCATGTGAAAACACAGCAATTGCCACAGCGCACCTTCTTTCTTTAAGTCAACAAGTGTTGAAGGAATGAAAGATAAGCCATTTTTGTGTCAGATCCTGTGCTCTTTTGGTTGTGGGGAAAGTACAACAGATATGAGAGAATAAATGCATACAATTAGAATTAATTCTCCTCTCTAGTTCTCATAGCTGAACAGGGCTCCAGTGTCTCATCCAAAGGGGGTACTGAGATTTCATCTGTCCTCTCATCTGCCTTCTGCAAATTAGCTCTCAAGATGCTTCTAAGTAGAGTTTTGTGAGAGATTCATGAAGTTAACCGTATAGACTTTGAACACAGTTCAAACTCCAGTGGCAGCACTGGTAAGTTGGGAACTATCTGCCCTGCCTTTCACTCAAGACATGATTGTCACACCGAAATAATTTTTCATTTTCTTCCATATCCTTACCTCTGTACCACTCACAACACCCCAGAGCCCCCTTACTCTTCAGACTCCTTTTTCCTGCAGTCTCACTCCCACTCTGCTCCGAGTTCGCCTGCCTGGCATCTATTGCCATCATGCTTCTGCATTTAGGTGTGGTGATTACTTCAATGTCCCCTTCCCCACAAGAGCCCCTGAGGCCCCGGGGAGCAGGGACCACGCCTGATTTTTCTCACTGCTGCATCCCTGGTGCCAAGCATATAAGTGCTAATAAGCATTTGGTAAACAAAAGTCCCCAGTGGGTTAGGGACAGACCCAAAGGCTGGGGGAGAGAGAGTTCCTGCCTTCTGAGGGAGGAGGTCATGGAGAGGACGTGCGAGGGGGCCAGGGCAGTTGGAGGCGCCTCACCCCTCCCCTGCCCGCGGTCCCCAAAAGGAGCGGGTTCTAGGACACAGTCTTGAGAGAGAGAACTGTGGTGAAGGACCACCTGGACTTGGGTACGACTGAAGGCCTCCACGGAAACTTTTAAGATTCTGGCGAGTAGCGCAGAGACCTACTCCCCTGGAGACTTCCCAGACAAGACTCTTAAATAAATTCCCTCATTAAACCTGCCACCTACCCACCTGCCTGCCTCTCTTCCGTTTCTCTTCGCCCTTCGTGTGCCAGCCAGTTTGGAAAACAACACTTTGACTTAAATGCTCTTTTCAAAGGAGGGAAAGGGCGGCCATGGCCGGAGCCCACGGACCCGGGGCCTGAGTTAGGCACCCCCTCCAGGGTCATGAGGGCGGTCAGGGTCCCTTTTGCTCATTCACACAAAGAAGTGGCGCCGACGGGGACAGGAATAGGTTAGGGAGGCGGGGGGCTGCCCCCGACACACACACAAAAAGAAAAACCTCGGGAAAGTGCGGGAACAGCGAGAATGTTTATCGGCATCCCAGCCTCAGGGGACGCTCCCAGGGAGCGCACGCGACTTTGCCAAGCCTTCGTGTGGCGCCAAACCCTGGCCCCGCCCCGCCGGCGCCTGGCCCCGCCCCTTCCGACCCTGGCTCCACCTCCCAGATCTCAATCCCCGCCCCGCCCCCTCCGGCCTGCTTTGGCCGCTTCAAGCCCCGCCCTCGGCCCGCCGCGAGTCGCCTAGGATTGGTCCCGCCTCCTTCAGGCACCTCCCCGCTTCCGCCCCGTCTCCCGAGCAACGCGGCGGCCCCGCCCCGTCATGGCGCCGGAGGAGAGCGTGGAAGCCTCACCCCTGCTGCAGAGTTTCGAGCGCCGCTTCCTGGCGGCGCGCGCGCTGCGCTCCTTCCCCTGGCAGGTGGGTGGCGGGGCGCGCTGAGTGCCAGCGGGGATGGCGAAGGACTGGTGAGGGGGCGCTATGGGCTCCCACTCCCGCCCTCCCCGCCACTGGACGGCCTGGGCTTTCTCGGGTGTCGGGGCCTTACCTCTGGTGCTGGACCTGGGGCTGCGCTGGACCTGGGGCTGGGCCGCGCGCCCCTGGGAAGCCCACCCTTCACCCGGCCACCACCTCCCTCTCCTCTGGGCCCTTCCCCCCCTCCGCTCCCTTTGTTGACTCGGGTCCCACGAATTGAAGTTTCTTCCCAACTACCTTTTTCACTCAGATTTTTAGGGTCATGGACAGTTCCCAGTAATTTTCATGACTTTTTTTTTTTTTTTAAGCCAGTTCTCCCGGTCATGAGAAACAGCTGCTGTTGCCCATTTTAATAATTGTTTACGGCCTCGGTGACCAGATCACAGACAACCCCCGCACCCAATTACAGACACAGGCCCCTGGGTGTTTTCATCTTTATCATCAGCTTTGGACAAAATCATCTCAGAGACAACTTTGAGGCTCTTTAAGTCTTGGAAGGAAGTGGCAGGGAGAAACAAAGTGGCCAGAAAACAGATGATAGAGGTCTCAGCTCCCCTGCCCTGGGACCTGCCATTGCACAGGCCGATGGCGTACAGCAGCTTCCTTCTGCCAAGGAGATTTCTAATGACATTGCCTCCTTGATAATTCATGTGCAGTGAGCTCACTGGGATGACTCAGTTTGGATATGTATTCTTCCCGGGTCTTCCCCTCCTTAGTCATTTGTATTTTATTGACATCAACTATTTAGCATTCTGCGAGCTCATTTCCAGTCACAAAGGAATATGTACATTTTTAACCCAAATTTAAACCTTTCTAACAGCATCTATGGGACCCCATTCCATATCAGCTAAAATTGTTCACCTAAAATAAGTGCATACTCTGTACCAGGACCATGCTAAATGCATACGTAGGCTGGCCCACAATACCCATGTGGTGGGTGCTATTACTATTGTATTTTACCACACAGGCTGACTAGAAGAGAGGTAGAGTGCAGCAATGGAGAGCTCAGACCTGGGAGACAGCCTCCTGCTTGGAATCCTGGCCCAATCCCATACAAGCTGTGTGACCTTGGGCAAGTGACTGCACACTTCTGGGCTATAGTTTTCTTATTAGTAACACAGGATGCTTCCCTCAAAGGGCTATTATCAGGGGTGCATGACAATGAAGTGTCTGAGGCAGTGCCTGGCTCATGGTAAATGGATGTAAATGTTAGCTAGTATTTTTATTCCATCCAAATGTTTACGGGATGCCTCCCATGAGCCAGGCACCAAGATCAGCAGCACACAGATGAGGCTTGTTCAGATGAGAGAGCCAGAGAATAAACACATAAATGAATAAGAAAGTGCCACAGGATAACAGTGGCTATAAAGTCAATAAAACAAGGAAATGTTTCATCAAAGTAGGGAAATCTGGGAAGGCCTCCAAGAGGGGATGTTTGAGCCACGACCTGAACGGTGAAGCAGTGGGGTGTGGGAGGTCTTGGGGAGCAGGGAGTGCAGAGGTTCTGCCAATGAGAGGAGGCCAGTGCGGCTGGAGTGGCATGAGCAGAAGTGAGATGGATGATGGCAAGTGAGATGAGAGAGAGGCCAGGGCCAGGTCTTACAGCATGTGATAAGTTGTTCTGGAGAAACAAAGGGATCTGCCCAGGGTCACACACCCGCCAGGCAGTCTGCCTGATTCTGGAGCCTGAGCTCACTACCAGGAGTGCCCTGCAGGAGAGGACAGTGTATAAGCTGGGCCTGGCAGCTGCACATTAACTCAGATGTCAAGTCCAAGGCAAGCCCATCGGGCGCTGATGTCCTGGGTAACTAATTCCTGGCTGACGAGGGCAGCCACCAAGCCAGTCTGTGATCCACGCGAGGCTTAGCGGCCAGGACTAATGCAAACCAAGAGTCTGTCTCCTGGTAGTCTTTCTCCGACTCATCCAGGTAGAACCTGGGACTTGTCAAGGTCAGACTTTCAGCCGCCTGTGGCTTCTACTTCCAGTTCGCCAAGGTCCCTGGGGAGAGATCACTTAGCACTTTGCCAACATGTCCTATTGCATGTTTAATGTTCCTGTGAAAATGTCTTGATTTCTCTCTCTGCCCCCCACTCTGTTTCCAAATAGAGCCTAGAAAAGAAATTAAGGGACTCCGGTTCTGAGCTGCTGCTGGATATTTTGCAGAAGGTAAGTATCACAGAGTCACTGGGATGCAGTCACCAGCCTCTTGACGGCCCAGGAGGACATGACACCAGTACAGTGCCTGTGCTTGTCTCCTTTCAAAAGAAAGGCACTGCATTTGGGTGGGAGCACCTCAGAGAGCGCTGGCTCTTTTGCTTTCTTAGATGAAGATATCAGAATATGCAAAAATCTACTTTGAGGGAGGGAGTCTAGCAGATGTTTTTTAAGCTGTCCACAGAGAAAACAAGTGACAGCTGTGGGAACATCGAGCATTTGCTAGCTGTTCAGAAAATTTCTTCTTTACATTTAAGGGAAAAATAAAGATGCAAGTCTTGCCCATGTGTGTCTCTCTTCTAGATGTAGGTGGACCCCTGCTTTTTGGAGTTGAGTTTAGGATTCTAAGATGCGTGTGGGTGAGGGTATATGTGGAACCACAACTGTGCCTGACCTGCCTGGCCATGTGGATCAAGTGCAGATTACACTGCCTCTTGGCTCTCAACCCTCTGAAGGGTCATGAACTCTTCTCAAAACCCAAAGCTATGGCTCTCCCCCCAGAAAAAAAATGCATCAGAATACATTTGGAATACAAATTCAGGGGAGTCACAAATCCTCCTCCCACCACTAAGCCCTCCAAGGAACCCAGATTAAGAATTCCTGCATGGCCCTGGCAAATGGGGCTCAGTTGGTTGTAGAATAGTCCCCTATATCAAAAG